CAAAAAAAAAAAAAAAAAAACATCCTAAGGAAGAGAAAATGTATTCACTATTTATGAAGTGGATCATTATAAAGGTCTTCATCCTTGTAGTCTTCGGGTTGAGTAGGCAGAGGAGGAGGAGGAAGGAGAGGGCCTGGTCTTGCTGTCTCAGGGGTAGAGGAAAATCCATGGATAAGTGTGTAAGTATAACTGGACCCACGCAGTTCACACCCGTGATGTTCAAGGGTCAGCTGTAGTTGGACCAGGCTCCCGGGGAAGAGGAAAGGCTGGGCAAGGTTGGAGACAGATGACCAGTTAAGACCTGCGCTCTAAGAGTTCCCAGCGCCTCCTCCCCACAGGGGTCATTGCCGGAGCCATCGTGGGCATCCTCCTATTTCTCATCCTGGTGGGCCTGCTGTTTTTCTTCCTGAAGAGGAGGTGAGACTCCGCACAGGGCTGATCGCCTGGAGGGTGGGGGCTGGAGAAGAAGGAAGAGGATCCCTGGTTGCAGCCTCACCCCTGAGCCTTTCATCCTAACATCCTTTTCCCAGGAATAAGAAGAACCAGCAGAAACCAGAACTCAGGGATCTGGTCTTCAGGTGAGCAGAAGGTCTCGGGGGCGCATCGGAAAGAATCTGGTCAAATCAAGGGGTGTTTGCTGGCTGCTGGCTAGGTCAGAGAGCTTTCTTTGAATATCCTGCCTAAAATATTCCCGCGGGGTGTGGCGGCTCACGCCTGTAATGCTAACACTTTGGGAGGCCGAAGTGGAAGGATTGCTTGAGGCCAGGAGTTCGAGACCAGCCTGGGCAACCTAGTAAGACCGCCAGAGGGTGAATCAGTGCATCTACCCACAAAGGTCTCAGAAGGGACCCAGGCCTCTGCGACTTCTGCGACAGGGACCACAGCCCTTCCATCTCAACTCACTCCCCAAGCAGCCTGGGCCAGTGAATTCAGTTCTGGTCTCAACTCCTGGACATTCATTCATTCATTCATTCAGCAGAATTCATTCATTCATTCAGCAAATATCAGCTGAGCACCAGCAGGTATCAGGCACTGTTCTAGGTGCCAAACAAACAGCAAATTAAACCAAGATTCCTGCCCGCCAGAGGCTTATATCCTAGTACAGGAGATATCAATAAACAAGATCGCTGGGCGCGGTGGCTCACGCCTGTAATCCCAGCACTTTGGGAGGCAGAGGCGGGCAGATCACGAGGTCAGGAGATTGAGACTATCCTGGCTAACACGGTGAAACCCCGTCTCTACTAAAAATATAAAAAATTAGCCGATGTGGTAGTGGGCACCTGTAGTCCCAGCTACTTGGGAGGCTGAGGAGGAGAATGGCGTGAACCTGGAAGGCGGAGCTTGCAGTGAGCCAACATCGCACCACTGCCCTCCAGCCTGGGCGACAGAGCAAGACTCCATCTCAAAAAATAAAAAATAAATAAATAAACAAGGTCATTAAAAATATGATATAAACTTTCAGACAGGGCCAGGCATGGTGGTGCACACCTGTAATCCCAGCTACTCAGGAGGCTGCAGCAGGAGAATCACTTGAATCCAGGAACAAAGGTTGCAGTGAGCCGAGATTGTACCATATATAGAGAGAATAAACTTGGAGACAAAGCAAGAGGAGGGGATAGGAAGGGTAGAGGAATATTTTGATATTCCTTTTTTTTTTTTTTTTTGAGGTGGAGTCTTGCTCTGTTGCCCAGGCTGAAGTGCAGTGGCATGATCTTGGCTCACCACAACTTCTGCCTCCTGGGTTCAAGCAATTCTACTGCTGCCTCAGCCTCCTGAGTAGCTGGGACCACAGGCACGCACCACCACGCCCGGCTAATTTTTGTATTTTTTAGTAGAGATGGGGTTTCACTATGTTGGCCAGGCTGGTCTCAAACTCCTGACCTTGTGATCCACCCACCTTGGCTTCCCAAAGTGCCGGGATTACACGTGTGAGCCATGGCCCCTGGCCTATTTTGATATTCTTCTAATGTGAAAATTAGAAGAAATTAGAGAGAAAATCAGAAGAATTATTTTATTTTATTTTATGTATTAATTTGTCAAGACAGGGTCTCACTCTGTGGCCCTGGCTGGAGTGCAGTGGCCCTATCATAGCTCACCACAACCTCGACCTCCTGGGCTCCAGTGGCCCTCCCACCTCAGCCTCCCCTGTAGCTGGGACCACAGGCATGCACCACAATGCCTGGCTAATTTTTAAATTTTTTGTAGAGATGGGAGTGGGAGGGGGCAGTCTTACTAGGTTGCCCAGGCTGGTCTCGAACTCCTGGCCTCAAGCAATCCTTCCACTTCGGCCTCCCAAAGTGTTAGCATTACAGGTGTGAGCCGCCACACCCCGCAGGAATATTTTAGGCAGGATATTCAAGGAAACCCTTGCTAACGAGATGACTAAGAGGAAGTCATCTGAGTACAAACCTACGCAAGTGGGAGAGGAGCAGTGCAGGCATCTGAGAAGGGCGTTCCGAGGACAGGGACGGGCGAGTGGAGGGCCCGAGGCAGCAGCCAGCACACGTGAGGTTCAGAGAATATCGTGCATCTCCCAGTAAGCAGAGCGAGGAAAGGGAGGGAGGTGGGAAATGAGATCAGAGAGACATCAGTGGGGCCAGAGCAGGCACAGGCTTGTAGATGAAAGTTAGGACTTTGGATTTATTGTGAGATGGGAGTTTTTGGAAGATTTTGAATAGATTAGTGGCACAGTCTAACAGGTGTAAGAAGCAAAGGGAAGAGATTTGTAATAATCCAGACAAGAGGCCAGGCGCGGTGGCTCACACCTGTAATCCCAGCACGTTGAGAGGCCAAGGCGGGAGGATCACTTGAGGTCAGGAGTTCGAGACCAGCCTGACCAACATGGTGAAATCCTGTTTCTACTAAAAATACGAAAATTAGCCGGGCATGGTGGTGGGCACCTGTAATCCCAGCTGCTCAGGAGGCGGAGGCAGGAGAATCACTTGAGCTTCGGAGGCTGAGGTGGCAGTGAGCCGAGATCACACCACTGCACTGCAGCCTGGGCAACAGAATGAGACTCTGTCTCAAAAAAAAAAAGAGAGAGAAAAAGAAAGAAAGTGAAGCTACAGGAATGGGCCAAACCCTGTAAGAAGTGTGTGTCCAGTGAGAAAAGTGGCTTGGGGTTGGACACTGGGGAACAGTTACCTTTTAAGACAGACAGAGGAGAAGGGACCTGCCCAGGAAATGGACGAGCAGCAGCTGGGTAGGTGGGGGCCAAGCCAGGACCAGTGTTCAGGAACAGTACAGATCCAGGAAACAGGCAGTCACAAGCGGTGGTGCTAAACGATGCTGAGCAGTCAGGCCAGTGGGGGCTGAAATGTGGCCTTTGCAATTACAGACAGGGAGGTCATGACGATTTTGGAGAAAGGTGTTCCCTGGAGTGGTAGATATAGACTCCAGGCCATGGTGATGGGATGACAGGAAGGAGAAACACTGGTCTGCATGAGAAGTTTGAGTGTAGGGCTGTCTGAGTAGGTTTATTATTATTATTATTATTATTATTATTATTATTTTATTTTTTGAGACGGAGTCTCGCCCTGTCACCCAGGTTGGAGCATAGTGGTGCGATCTCGGTTCACTGCAACCTCTGCATCACGGGTTCAAGCGATTCTCCTGCCTCAGCCTCCCGAGTAATCGGGACTACAGGTGTGCAACACCACGCCCAGATTATTTTTGTATTTCTAGTAGAGACGGGGTTTCACCATGTTGGCCAGGCTGGTCTCAAACTCCTGACTTCGTGATCCACCTGCCTCAGCCTCCCAAAGTGCTGGGATTACAGGTATGAGGCATCGCGCCCGTCGAGACAGCATTTATAAAATTCTATTACAAGCTGGGCGCAGTGACTCATGCCTGTAATCCTAGCACTTTGGGAGGCCGAGGTGGGAGGATTGCCTGAGATCAGGAGTTTGAGACCAGCCTGGGAAATACGGTGAAACCCTATCTGTACTAAAATACAAAAAATTAGCCGGGTGGGGTGGCGGGCACCTGTAGTCCCAGCTACTCGGGAGGCTGAGGCAGGAGAATTGCTTGAACCTGGGAGGCAGAGGTTACAGTGAGCCGAGATCGTGCCACTGCGCTCCAGCCTGGGCGACAGAACGAGACTCTGTCTCCAAAGGAAAAAAAAAATTATATTACAAGAGGAAGAGTGAGAAAGAGCTGAAGTTCCATGAAGTCAAGCAACTTTTTTTAACGTTTTAATTTTAGTTTTAAAAATTGAGACAGGATCTCACTCTAGGCTGGAGTATAGTGTGGCAAACACAGCTCACTGCAGCCTTGACCTCGTGGTTCAAGTGATCCTCTCATCTCAGCCTGCAGGTAGCTGGGACCACAGTTGTGCACCACCATGCCTGGATGATTTTTTAATACTTAAATTTCTGTGGAGACAAGGTCCTGCTGTGTTGCCCAGGCTGGTCTTAAACTCCTGGGCTCAAGCAAGCCTTCTGGCTCAGCCTCTCAAAGTGCTGGAATGACAGGCGTGAGCCACCACGCCGAGCCTCCCTTGTTTTTGAGGCTGAGTCATAGTCCATTGTCTGGCTCGACCACGTTTGGTTTATCCGTTCCCCCATAGATGGAGGCTTAGGTTGCGTCCACCTCTGGGCTATCCTGAACATTATAAATATGGGCATGTAAATAGCTTTTTAAGTCTTTGCTTTCAGTTATTTTGGGGATATACCCAGGAGTGGCATTGCTGGATCAAAAATACCTTTTCATTGATCCCAAAAGCACTATATATATATAAAATATACATGTGTATATATATACACATACACACGCACACACACACATATATATGTATACATATATACACATACCATCATTATAAGATTTCAGTGAGTGGGAAGGATATATGTGTGTGTGTGTGTGTGTGTGTGTGTGTGTGTATATATATATATAGAGAGAGAGAGAGAGGGAGACAGAGTCTTGCTCTGTTGCCCAGGCTGGAGTTCAGTGGTGCAATCTCGGCTTACTCAACCTCCACCTCCCGGGTACAAGCGATTCTCCTGCCTCAGCCTCCTGAGGAGCTAGTAGACTACAGGCAGACACCACCACGCCCAGCTAATTTTTGTATTTTTAGTAGAGATGGGGTTTCTCCATGTTGGTCAGGCTGGTCTCAAACTCCTGACCTCAGGTGATCCGCCCGCCTCAACCTCCCAAAGTGCTGGGATTACAGATGTGAGCCACCGTGCCCAGCCCTCAAAAGTACAAGATTAAAAGAGGTTACGGTCTTTTCTCCTAGCTTCCCAGGGGACATCCTGGCCGAAGACTTCGCTGACCACGTCAGGAAGAATGAGAAGGACAGCAACTGCGGTTTTGCAGACGAGTACCAGGTGGGGATAGGACAGAAGGGCTGAGCTCAGCCTCCCTCCGGTGGCCTAATCCCCAATCCCCACCCCCTGGCCAGACCTCATGACTTTCAGGATTAAGCAAAAGCAGCATTGCATAAGTCATTGGATTGTGCAGAGATTCCCAGGCACGTTATCTTTCCGCTCACTGACATCTTAAAATAATGGCGGGTCAGTCCTAAAGTAACTCTCTCCGCTCCCACCAAGTGAGTCCTTTCTCCCCTGACACCTGCTTTCCTGCCTGCCTGAGGAAGTCCCATGGTTCCCTAAATCCTCCTGAATGCCCCACAGGGCAGGTGGCACACATAGGTTCTGTTTTGGTGGGTGCCATAGAATCTCAGGGTGCAAGGGATAGACAAGGGGTGATGTCGAAGAAGGCAAGGGGAGCTTGGGGGATACCCTCGAGGGAAAGTAGAGAAAATCTAACATCAGGTACCGCCTCTGCCTGCACCCCCAGCAACTGTCCCTGGTGGACCACAGCCAGTCTCAGACGGTGGCGTCAGCTCCGGTGAACAATGGCAAGAACCGCTACAGAAATGTACTGCCCTGTGAGTCTCGGGCTTCTGCTGCTTTCGTCCCAGCTACTCAGTACCGGTCTACTCAGTACCCCATCCCGGTCCCCTTCTCCTACCCGCTTTGAGAAACAAGACCTGCCTCCTACCATGGGTACCCCCACACACTTTTTTCTTTTTCTTTTTCTTTTCTTTCTTTCTTTTTCTTTCTCTTTTTCTTTTCTTTCTTTTTCTTTTTTTTTTTTTTTTGAGATGGAGTCTCGCTCTGTCGCCCAGGCTGGAGTGCAGTAGTGCGATCTTGGCTCACTGCAACCTCCGCCTCCCGGATTCACGCCATTCTCCTGCCTCAGCCTCCCGAGTAGCTGGGACTACAGGTGCCCGCCGCCACGCCCGGCTAATTTTTTATATTTTTAGTAGAGACGGGATTTCACCGTGTTAGCCAGGATGGCCTCGATCTCCTGACTTTGTGATCCACCCGCCTCGGCCTCCCAAAGTGTTTCTTTCTTTCTTTCTTTTTTTTTTTTTTTTTTTTTTTTGAGAGATGAGTCTCGCTGTGTCGCCCAGGTTGGAGTGCAGTGGTGCGATCTTGGCTCACTGCAACCTCCGCCTCCCGGATTCACGCCATTCTCCTGCCTCAGCCTCCCGAGTAGCTGGGACTACAGGTGCCCGCCGCCACGCCCAAGCAATTTTTTATATTTTCTTAGTAGAGACGATTTCACCGTGTTAGCCAGATGGCCTCGACCTCCTGACTTTGCAGATCCACCCGCCTCGGCCTCCCAAAGTGCTGGGATTGCAGGTGTAAGCCACTGTGCCTGCTCCTCCATTTTTTTTTTCCTTTGAGACAGAGTCTTGCTCTGTTGCCCAGGCTGGAGTGAAATGGCGCCACCTTGGCTCAGTGCAACCTCCACCTCTCAGGTTCAAGCGATCCTCCCACCTCAGCCTCCCTAGTAGCTGGGACTACAGGGCCCACCACCATGCCTGGCTAATTTTTGTATTTTTAGTAGTGACTGGGTTTTACCATGTTGGCCAGACTGGTCTCAAATTCCTGACCTCAGGTGATCTACCCACCTCAGCCTCCCAAAGTGCTGGGATTACAGGCGTGAGCCACTGCGCCCGGCTGTGGGTCCCTTTGAGAGTCCTCCTGGCCTGCTCCCTGCAGCTGGGGTCCCTCCGCCCCTCCCAATCCCTGCATGGCTCCCAGGGTCTGCCGGCATCTCAGCATGACTTCTGTCCATGGGTCTTGGTCTTGTCTCTGTGCCTCTCTGGGTCTCTCTGCCTGGCTAATGCTGGCCTCTTCTCCTAGATGACTGGTCCCGGGTGCCCCTGAAGCCCATCCACGAGGAGCCAGGCTCTGACTACATCAATGCCAGCTTCATGCCCGTAAGGTCGTGGTTGGGATTGGAAGGGTGCCCAGAAGGCCTGGAGAGATAAGAGCTGGCGGGGGGTCATTTAGAGGCCCCCCTGACCCGCCTGCCTTCCTCAACCAGGGTTTCCGGAGCCCCCGGGAGTTCATCGCCACCCAGGGTCCCCTGCCACAGACGGTGGGTGACTTTTGGCGCCTGGTGTGGGAACAGCAGAGCCACACCCTGGTCATGCTGACCAACTGCATGGAGGCCGGCCGGGTGAGAGATCTGAGTCCTGGGTGCTGACTGGGTGCAGGACCCTGCCCCGAACACTGATCCAATGTAGACCCCACACCCAGACCTCATGGATTCCTCCAGGGTGACCCCAGGTGTCTTCGGTGTAGACCTGTTCCCCACTCCCTGCCCAGCCCATCTGCTGGTTCACATATGGTGCCTAAAGCAGACCCCACAGATCTGGGGAAGAGGAGTTCTGTTCTCTGACCCCTCCTCCTCCCCCAGGTGAAGTGTGAGCATTACTGGCCTCTGGACTCGCAGCCCTGCACCCATGGACACCTGCAGGTAACCCTGGTGGGTGAGGAAGTGATGGAGAACTGGACGGTGCGGGAACTGCAGCTCCTCCAGGTGCGTGTGTCCAGCCCCGTCCTGGCCCTCAGCCTTCCCCTGTGACATATGCCATGCATCCAGGACCCTCCACCAACTCCAACCTTCCACTCACTCCTCTGAGGAGCTGCAGTGTGCCCCAGGGAACCCACTCCTAGTGGTAGAAGCCGGGTCCTCGTTATGTTCATCTCCAGAGCCTGTGAGCGCTCCCTCCTTCCAGGTGGAGGAACGGAAGACGCTATCCGTGCGGCAATTCCACTACCAGGCCTGGCCAGATCACGGCGTTCCCTCCTCCCCAGACATCTTGCTGGCTTTCTGGAGGATGCTCCGGCAGTGGCTGGATCAGACCACGGAGGGGGGCCCACCCATTGTACACTGCAGGTGGGGACCAGCCCAGGACCCTCGGTCTTGAGAGAACCGCTCCCTTGGGGCTCAGACGGTGGTGTTAGATGGGACCCTGGGAACTTACAGGGGAGGTGGAAGAGGGAGAGAAGGAGGAGGTGGATGCGGAAGATAAAGGGGGATGTGAAGCAGTTAAGGAAAGAAGGAGGGGCCGGGTGCGGTAGCTCACGCCTGTAATCCCAGCACTTTGGGAGGCCGAGGCAGGCGGATCACGAGGTCAAGAGATTGAAACCATCCTGGCTAACACAGTGAAACCCCATCTCTACTTACAGGGGAGGTGGAAGAGGGAGAGAAGGAGGAGGTGGATGCGGAAGATAAAGGGGGATGTGAAGCAGTTAAGGAAAGAAGGAGGGGCCGGGTGCGGTAGCTCACGCCTGTAATCCCAGCACTTTGGGAGGCCGAGGCAGGCGGATCACGAGGTCAAGAGATTGAACCATCCTGGCTAACACGGTGAAACCCCATCTCTACTAAAAATACAAAAACTAGCCGGGCGAGGTGGCGGGCGCCTGTAGTCCCAGTTCCTCGGGAGGCTGAGGCAGGAGAATGGCGTGAACCCGGGAGGCGGAGTTTAAGCTGAGAACGTGCCACTGCACTCCAGCTCTGCGACAGAGCGCGAGACTCCGTCTCAAAAAAAAAAAAAAAAAAAAAAAGAAAAGGAAGATAAGGATGAAAAGATGGGAATGAAAGATGAAAAGGCAGGCCAGGCATGGTGGCTCACGCCTGTAAATCCCAGCACTTTGGGAGGCTGAGGTGGGTGGATCACTTGAATTCAGGAGTTTGAGACCAGCCTGGCCAACCTAGCGAAACCCCATCTCTACTAAACATACAAAAATAGCCGGGTGTGGTGGCGGGCACCTGTAATCCCAGCTACTCGGGACCCTGAGGCAGGAGAACTGCTTGAACCTAATCCCAGCACTTTGGGAGGCCGAGGCAGGCGGATCACGCAGGTCAAGAGATTGAACCTGGCTACTACTACAGTGAAACTCTACCCTACTGAAAATACAAAAAACTAGCCGGGCGAGGTGGCGGCGCCAGTCCCAGCTCCTCGGGAGGCTGAGGCAGTGAGAATGCGTGGCGTGAACCCGGGAGGCGGAGCTTCCAGTAAGCCGAGAACGTGCCACTGCACTCCAGCCTGGGCGACAGAGCGACCGCCTCCAAAAAAAAAAAAAAAAAAAAAGAAAAGGAAGATAAGTATGAAAGATGGGAATGAAAGATGAGGTACAGCAGGCCAAGATGTAGGTCACAGAATCCCAGCACTTTGGGAGGTTGAGGCGGGTGGATCACTTGAATTCAGGAGTTTGAGACCAGCCTGGCCAACCCATGAACCCCATCTCTACTAAACATACAAAAATAGCCGGGTGTGGTGGCGGGCACCTGTAATCCCAGCTACTCGGGACCCTGAGGCAGGAGAACTGCTTGAACCCGGGAGGTAGAGGTCAGAGGCTGCGGTCGACCACTGCATCTCCAGCCTGGGTGACTTGTCTCGATTTCTAAGAAAAAAAGGAGAAAAGAAAATGAAAAGGTAAAGCCAGAGAAAGTTGAATGCAGTAAGAGGAAGGAGAAAGGATGAAGGCGCAGGACGGAGATGTGGTCACAGATTTGAGGAACATTCCTCGACACTTCCTTGTACTGGAGCAGGGCCTCCCCATCAACTGCTTCCCTGATACTTATTTTTGTTCTGTTTTGTTTTGTTTTGTTTTGTTTTATTTTATTTTATTTTATTTGAGATGGAGTCTCGCCCTGTCGCCCAGGCTGGAGTGCAATGGCACAATCTCAGCTCACTGCAACCTCTGCTTTCCAGGTTCAAGCAATTCTCCTGTCTCAGCCTCCTGAGTAGCTGGGATTACAGATGCTCACCCCTGCACCCGGCTAATATTTGTATTTTTAGTAGAGACCATTTTTAGTTTCACCATGTTGGCCAGGCTGGTCTCGAACTCCTGACCTCGTGATCCGCCCGCCTCGGCCTCCCAAAGTGCTGGGATGACAGGCGTGAGCCGCCGCGCCTGACGTTTTCCTGATATTTATGCTGAAGTCCCGTAGGTCAGATTTCAACTAACGGTAACTATTAGGGAGATGAGGAGGAGTGACAGCCCCTGAGACTGGGGCTCTGGTTTCAGTGACAGCGAACATTTACACAGTCCTACTGCTCCTCATAACAGCCTCATGGCAAAATTATCCTCCCCATTTTATTTTATTTATTTATTTATTTGTTTATTTTGGAGGCGGAGTTTCGCTCTCATTGCCCAGGCTGGAGGGCAATGGCGCGATCTCGGCTCACCGCAACCTCCGCCTCCCAGGTTCAAGCGATTCTCCTGCCTCAGCCTCCTGAGTAGCTGGGATTACAGGCATGTGCCACCACACTTGGCTAATTTTTATTTTTAGTAGAGACGGGGTTTTACGGTGTTGGTCAGGCTGGTCTCGAACTCCCAACCCCAGGTGATCCGACCACCTCGGCCTCCCAAAGTGCTGGGATTACAGGCATGAACCACCATGCCCGGCAATGTCCCCCCCCCCATTTTAAAGTTGAGTGGATATCATTACATCATTCCATTAGTATACATGTCCAGAAGCATATCTAGAACAGCCAAAGCAACAGACACTAAACAGATTAGTAGCTTCCAGGCCCTGGAGGGAGACAGGGAATGGGGAGAGGCGGCCTAATGGGCGTGGTATCTGCTTTAGGGATGATGAAAGTGTTTTGCAAGTAGATAGAGATGGAGGCTGCACAATGTTGTGAGTGTGATAAATTGCTCACATTCAAATAGCTAAATTTTTTTTCTTTTTTTTTGGAGACGGAGTCTCGCTGTGTCACCCAGGCTGGAGTGCAATGGCTTGATCTCAGCTCACTGTAACCTCCGCCTCCCGGGTTCAAGCGATTCTCCTGCCTCGGCCTCCTGAGTAGCTGGGAATACAGGCGCCTGCCACTCCACCTGGCTAATTTTGGTATTTTTAGTAGAGATGGGGTTTCTCCATGTTGGCCAGGCTTGTCTCCAATGCCTGACCTCTGGTGATCCATCTGCCTCAGCTTCCCAAAGTGCTGGGATTACAGGCGTGAGCCACTGCGCCCAGCCTAAAATAGTTAATTTTTTTTTTTTTTTTTTTTTTCCAGCCTAAAATAGTTAATTTTTTTTTTTTTTTTTTTTTTTTTGAGATGGAGTCTCGCTCTGTCACCCAGGCTGAGTGAAGTGGTGTGATCTTAGCTCACTGCAACCCCGCCTTCCGGGGTTCAAGCGATTCTCTGCCTCAGTCTCTGAGTTGCCAGGACTATGAGCATGCCACCATGCCTGGCTAATTTTTTTCTTTTTCTTTTTTTTTTTTTTTTGGTATTTTAGTAGAGATGAGTTTCACCATGTTGGCCAGGATGGTCTTGATCTTCACCTCGTGATCCACACATCAGCGAGCCTCTCAGTGCCGGCCTCCCAAAGTGCTGGGATTACAGGTGTGAGCCACTGTGCCCAACCTAAAACAGCTAATTTTTTCACTGGGCACAGTAGCTCATGCCTATAATCCCAGCACTTTAGGGGACTGAGGTGGGAGGATCACTTGAGTCCAGGAGTTTGAGACCTTCCTGGGCAACATGGCAAGACCCCGTCTCTATAAAAACATTTAATAAGTTAGCCAGATGCAGTGGTGTGTGCCTATGATCCGAGCTACTCAGGAGGCTGAGACAGGAGGTTCACTTGAGCCCAGGAGGTCAAGGGTGCAGTGAGCCGAGGTCATGCCACTGCACTCCAGCCTACGTGACAAACAAAACAAAACGAAAGACTGATTTTGTGTTTAAAGGAATTATTCAATGATTGGCTGGAGAGTTCTTCTTCCTGTGTTTGAACCCCAGTTCTGTCACTTATTAGCTGAGTGGCCTGGGGTATGGGACTTCACCTCACTCAGCCTCCATTTCCCCATCTGTACAAAGGATGTGCTAGTACATCCCACTTCTTAGGTTTGGGAGGAGTGAAGAGGGCCCATCAGGCACTTAGAACAGAGCCTAACACATGGAAGGAACTGCAGGCATAGTTTTGTTGTTGTTGTTGCTGTTGTTTTTTGAGATGGAGTTTTGCTCTTGTTGCCCAGGCTGGAGTGCAATGGTGCGATCTCAGCTCACTGCAACCTCCACCTCCTGGGTTCAAGCAATTCTTCACCTCAGCCTCCCAAGTAGCTGGGATTACAGGCATGCGCCACCACACCCGGCTAATTTTTGTATTTTTAGTAGAGACAGTGTTTCGCCAGGTTGGCGAGGCTGGTCTCGACCTCCTGACCTTGGGTGATCCACTGGCCTTGGCCTCCCAAAGTGCTGGGATTACAGGTGTGAGCAGGCATAGTTATTGTCATCATTCAAACACAGATCCCTCCAATCAGCCATGACCCCGGACCCTCGCACTCCTGCCCCCTTGGTCTGACCCTTCCCTTGTTCTGCCTAGTGCTGGTGTGGGTCGCACAGGCACCCTCATTGCTTTGGACGTCCTGCTCCGGCAGCTGCAGTCCCAGGGTCTCCTTGGGCCCTTCAGCTTTGTGAGGAAGATGAGAGAGAGCCGGCCGTTGATGGTGCAGACTGAGGTGAGGCAGCCCCTCAGCGACACAGGACGGGAGTCGGTGGGTAGAGGTACCCTGGGGCTCCACACAGCCCAGATCTGGGGGGAGGCCCCTCACTCCCATGCCCGTTTCCCAGGCTCAGTACGTGTTCCTGCACCAGTGCATCCTGCGGTTCCTCCAACAGTCAGCCCAGGCCCCAGCCAAGAAGGAAGTCATTTATGAGAGTGTCGAAAATCTCATCTATGAGAATGTGGCCGCCATCTAGGCCCACAAGTTGGAGGTCTAAGTGACGAGAGGGCTGGGTCAGCAGCCCAGGCATCCTCAAGCTCTGAATGCCCACTTGAGCCCAGATTCCTGGAAGAGCAGAGGGCTGGGCTCCCAGACTCCTAGGTGCTGTGGGAGGAGGAGACTGGGATCCCAAACTCTGGTTTCCCCAGGAGAGAGTGGTCTGATGGGCTTCAGATGAACCCTATGGGAGCTGGGGATCTGGATTCCTAGTTCCTTGAAGGAGAGAGATGGTAGCTTGGATTTCCTAGGTCTTTCAGGGAGGAGGAAGCTGGGAGTCCAGGATACGGGAAGAAACAGACTGGAGCCTGGATTCTGAGGCAGGAAGGAATTTGGGTCTGGAGTTCTGGCTCCTTGAGGACCAAAGGCAGGCAGGATCCTGCCCTGCTTTTACTTCAGAAACCAAATCAGTCTTCTATAATCTGAGGTCGGAGGGAGTCCCTGTGCCCAAGGTCTCCCTGCACCCCACCATCCACATATATTTTTCCTTCTATCCTATAATTTATTAAATCACTGTTCTCCCCAGAGACAGTTGTCCCATGGATTTCTGGGTCCGGAAATAGTATTGGGTTGGGAGTAGGGATGGGTTCCTGGTATCTAGGGATAGAGGCAAACGTCCAGGAGGGGACTAGAGGGACCCACACATTTGCACATGAAAAAATGTAGGTTTGGGTGGTTGAGTCTCTCAGAGAAGGCAGAGTCCAGACGTCTGTGTCCAGGGTCTGGGCAGTATGGACAGGGCTCGCTGAAACTAAGTGCTTGGGGACTTGCTTTCTGAGCTTTTCTTTTACTCTTTTTGTTGTTGTTGTTGTTTTGTTCTGTTTTTGTTTTTGTTTTTGAGACATGGTCTTGCTTTCTTGGCCAGTCTGGAGTGCAGTGGCTTACCGCAGGCTTGACCTCCTGGGCCCAGGTTATCTTCCCACCTCAGCCTCTAGAGTAGCTGTGATCACAGGTACGCACCACCACGCCGGACTCATTTTTGTAGAGACGGGATTTTGCTGTGTTGCCCAGACTGGTCTCCAGCTCCCGGGCTCAAGCATTCCTCCTGCTTCGACCTCCCAAAGTGCTGAGATTACAGGTGTGAGTCACCGCACTGGCCGCCTCTTGGGACTGGTGTTAGGGGAACTTAGAGGGCGATGTTTGGGGACTGATAGCTGGGTACTTTGAGGCTGAACCCCGCAGAGTCTGGGTCTCCAGTGAGGGTCTAGGGTCTCCTAGGTGCTAGGACTGAGTATCCTGGCATGCCGTTCTTCGGGCTATACAGGGTGTGTGTCGTGTGTGTTGGGGCGGGAGGAGTGGAGTGGTCTGGACGGCCAACGACTGGACCAGAAGGCAGAAAATTCTAAGGCACCAGGATAAATATCTGTGGGCGTCACCGAGGTTCCCCGGTGGAGGCGGGAGGAGGGGCGGGGCGGGGCTTTCCGCTTACCCGAGACCAAATACGGGCACACACAATACACACCACACACACGCGCACACGCACACGGGCACACACGCGCGCACGGGATCCGGCTTCGCTCCGCGGCTCCCCCGCCCGGCCGAGCTCCGCGATCAGCACTCGGGACAGCGCCACCGCCCACGTGCGGGGGGCGGGGTCCGGGCGGGGCTGGCGCCTCCGCGTCTCCCGGGAGCGTCCCGTCCGGCCGCCGAGCAGGTAGGAGCTGGTGGGACCCCCGCCCTCAGCCGATCCGCATCCGCATCCCTAGAGGCAAGGGGTGTGGGAGTGGGGGCTGGGGCACTGGGGGGACCAACAGAGACAGTGGGAGGGCTGGAGCCTGAAGCGGAGGGAGGGATTTGGGGACGCGAGTCAGGTATGGAGAAGACAAAGAGCCGAGGGCAGGGAGGGGGGCGCAGGCAGAGCGAAGGGGGAGAGACCCAGGGGACAGAGGCCAGGCGATAGGCATTAGAGACGGGCGGAATGGGGAGGCAGACACAGGGAAGACGCCTATTTGGGGTCAAGAGACAGCGTGGAGACCGAGGCGGTCACGAGAGCAGGTGTGAAGACAGCACGGATGCGTGGAGAGACCAACAGGCCAAGAAGGATGAGGGGGACTCAGCACAGGCACTGGGCAGCCCCCGACCCGCCCTCCAGCAAAACTGGGGAGAGGGAAGAGGGAACCTACGTCTCAGCTCCCAGGACCAGGTGCGGAGGGAGAAGTCGGCTGTGGCCGCTCGGACCACAGGCTGCCCCTCCCCACCTTGCGGGACCTCAGGATCCCAGTCGGGCTATCGGGGGGTTCCCGGGCACCAGTGGGCCCCGGAGCGAGCCTGCCCCGCCGGGACTCCGCGTCTGTGCGTCAGCCCCGCCCGTTGTCCTGGCAACAGACCGTTGCCCGGGCAACCAGCTTTGCTCCCACCCCGCTCGAGAAGAGCCGGGCTGTTGCTCTGGGCAACGCGGTCCGCTGGTTCCCACGCCTGCCTTCGCCCGCTTCCTGTTCAGGCCCTGCGGAGGGGCGAGGACGAGGCAGAAGTCAGCGGGATGCCTGTGGGGCCGTGGAGGAAGAGGGTATCTCTTTGGGATGCAACTAGGTCCTGGACACCCCCATCTCAAGCGCAGGGAGGCTGAAACTACAACTCCCAGCATGACTCGCGGTGGCTGTCCGGTTTCTGCGCGGCTGTTCGTGCATGGGCCTCATGGGAGTTGGAGTTCTTTGTTGTGCGTGGGGCTCAATGGACGTCTGGGGTGGGAATGGGGGACTAGGGTGCTTGAGTGCCTCTGCAGAAAAGACTCTAGGAATCCGCCACCATGTTCCCGGAGCCCCCAACCCCGGGGCCTCCATCGCCCGACACGCCTCCTGACTCCAGTCGCATCAGCCACGGCCCCGGTGAGCAAGACCGGGGGGAAGACGGTGGGGGGTGGGGGGGCGAGCAGAGAGAAAGCCCGGCCAGGATTCCGAGGGGCAGGATTCGGACGGGTGTACTCGGGCAGGCGGGCTGGAAAATCTGGCTGGGATTCCGGGTCGTCATCCTGGACTAGAACGCGAAAGAAATCGGGAAAAAGGAAGGAACAAATTTGCAACAAAAATCGAAACCGGATCAAGGGGTGTTGCATGGAATGGGATCTTAGAATTGGAAGGTCCACCTAGCCCTTCTTTTACAGATAAGGAAACTGAGGCCCGATGAGGAGCAGGGCTTCTTCTAAAAAGCATCAGGAGTTGAGCAGAAATGGGGGGCGGGGGCGGGTAAGGAAAGGCAGAACTAACAGGCAAGCAAATCCAGATGGTGTCAGCCTGGGTTAGGGCATCGAATCTCTCTATAATAGGCCACATTAGGTGGAAGAAAAACGCGGAAAGAAATGGAATGAAAATGCCTATAGGGAAAAGGACGCCAGCATTCCAGCTTCCGCGCGCTGCCCAGGCCTCAATGTGTGTTGTCTCCACCCCTCTGCAGTGCCCCCCTGGGCCCTGGCCACCATCGTGCTGGTCTCAAGCCTCCTCGTCTTGAGCTGCTGTTTCTGTCTCTACCGGAAGCGTTGTCGGAGGCGGACGGGCAAGAAGAGCCAGGCCCAAGCCCAGGTCCACCTTCAGGAAGTGAAGGGGCTGGGCCAGAGTTACATAGACAAGGTGTGGCCCAGCCCAGCCCCTCTACCCAGCCCCTTCCCGCACCCTGCTCCTCTCAATGGCCCAGCGAGTCCCAGTCCCTGCTCCCTTCCCTCCTATAGGAACCCACCTTACTGGCTCATCCTCCCTGTGTGTCTAGCCCTCAACTGGACTCTAGGGACCTGGAGATGGAACAGAACTAGCTGCTGTTCACAAGAACTTCCCAGTCTGGTGGGGTAGTCAGGCACTGACACAGACACTCACCACACAGGGTAATATGTGCATACTACAGGGTCTCATAGGAGCACAGAAAAGGCATCCCACTGTATAGAAATCTACAGAAACGTATAAATATTTGGCTCTGGGCCAGGTGCGGTGGCTCACACCTGTAATCCTAGCACTTGGGAGGCTGAGGTGGGCAGATTGCCTGAGGTCATGAATTCTAGAGTAGCCTGGGCAACATGATAAAACCCTGTCTCTACTTAAAATACAAAAAATTAGCCAGGCGTGGTGGCGTGGTATAATCCCAGCTACTCGAGAGGCTGAGGCACTGAAACGGGGAGGTGGAGGCTGCAGTGAGCTGTGATCGCGCCACTGCACTCCAACCTGGGTGACAGAGCAAGATTCTGTCGCCAATAAATAAATAAATAAATAAATAAATAAATGGCTTTGAAAGCTGAAAACCAGCTTTGTGCCAGAATACTTTAAAATGTGCTGATTCCTTTTGGAGAATGAGATGTATTTACACTAAGAAAAATTTTAAAACCGAGGGTCAGACAGGAGGCTTCATGGTGGAGGTGACCTCTGCACTGAGACCCAAGGAACAGAGTTAACTGAGACCAGAGAGAAGGACATTCTAGTCCAAGTTGGAGCATGTGTTGAGGCCGCACATGCAGATTCAGGCCCCATATCCAGATTCTGAGGCTTATTTGGGGAACAAAGAGTCGTTTTTCACAATAGCTGCACTCTGGAGTGAAGTGTCTGGAGAACTCAGCAGTATCCACGTCATGAGGGTGATGAAAGCTACAAATATGTTTTGAGCATGAGAGGGACAGGGTCAGATGGTGTTAGGATGACTCCTCTGGAACCCCCATGTAGGACAGATCTGCGGCGAGGAATCCAGGGAGGAGGCCAGTGCAGCAGCAGCCCAGAGAGGATAAAAGAGATTTGCATTGGACAAGGCTGTTGGAATGGAAAGTGGTCACCGCAGGGTCTGAAAATTAAGTCTCTCAGTGCAGAGTGCAATGTTTGCCTGGGAGCCAGACAGCCCTAGGTTTCCAACCAAAAGAGACCATTTCCCAGTTGTGTGACCTTGGAGAATTCACTGTCCCTCTCTGAACCTCAAGTTTGCTGTCACTAACTTGGTATTTCCCCTCCTTCCTTCTCAGTAAGGAGCTGTTACAATTAGTATCCGTAAAGATGCCATTTAGGGTCCTGGTGTCCAGCCCCATCCCTATCCCTTAAACCAGTGATGTTCAAAGACTGCAGCAGAATCACACAGGGTACTTGTTGAAATGCAAATTCTGGAGCTAGCACCTGACCTGTTGAGTCAGCATCCCTGAAGAGGTGCCTTCAGGCGTTTTGTCACAGGATTCAGGGGAATTCAGGTTTACATTGAATTTTAAGAATTGCTGTCCTAGGTTAAGGAGACCTTCTGCTTTTTCATTCTACTTTAGAATAGCAAATACACAGTAAATATGCCATTTCTCCTCCATGTTTTGCTGTGCTAAGATCACAAGTAAACATGGCAGTTTGGACTAGCACCCCGATACATCCATTAGCATGTGAAATACAACCTGCATTATTCCTGTGGGCAATGGGACACTATCAGTACTTGTTTTAATCTAAGCATGACAAACACATGTCTAGTCCCTGCCCATAGCAGACACCACTAATCAAACATTCACAAACATACTGCATCTGTGTTATCATGTCTATTTCCTGCCTGTGGCAGACATCTCTCGTCAAATACTGACTCTGCTTAGCCTGTAAGCGCTCAGGTATAGCCCAAGGGACTTGTGAGCCTCTCTTGGCTTCTGAACCTGAAGGATACTGCTATCAGGGGACGACTTCACCTACCCTTACCCCTGGCTCCCTAAGGTGCAGCCAGAAGTGGAGGAGCTGGAGCCAGCACCATCCGGGCCAGGGCAGCAGGTGGCAGAGAAGCGTGAGCTAGGACGACTGCAGTACTCCCTGGATTATGACTTCCAGAGTGGCCAGGTGGGTGTGGAGGCAGGGGATACTTTGGAGGGAGGGTCCCAGGGGTTCCAACCACTTCTGAAAGGAGCCATGGAAGGGAGGCTAAGACTAGTGTTCCCCGCCTCCCCCACTGTGCCTGGGCCCTGCAGCTGCTGGTGGGCATTCTGCAAGCAGAGGGATTGGCAGCCTTGGATCTGGGTGGCTCCTCGGACCCCTACGTGCGGGTCTACCTGCTACCTGACAAACGGAGGCGGTACGAGACCAAGGTGCATCGGCAGACGCTGAACCCTCACTTTGGGGAGACCTTTGCCTTCAAGGTGAGCTCCTGCCCTCAGGCCCCGTGTTCCATAGCCTGCGCCCAGTCCCTGGAACACTGGGGACCGACCCTTTCCACCTTTCCTGCAGGCGGCCACAGCTCAGGTGGCAGCTACCCGCTCTGGGGCTATTCCACTGGACTCTGGGCACTGCTGACTCCTGGGCTGTAGCCTGGTCCTTGGGCGGTACCATTTGGGTTCCACTGACCCGTGATTTTTTTTTCCCCATGGATCCCTGGACTTCCCCATTTGAGTTCCCCCAACTGTTCGCTTGGACCCTCGCTGCCTCACTCCACGCCTGCCTTCTGGATGTGCTGCACCTCACCCTATGTCTGACTTCCTGCTCTCTACTGCGGATTCTCTGTGCACTCCAGGTCCCCTACGTGGAGCTGGGGGGCAGGGTGCTGGTCATGGCGGTGTACGACTTCGACCGCTTCTCTCGCAACGACGCCATCGGGGAGGTGCGGGTCCCCATGAGCTCCGTGGACCTGGGGCGGCCAGTGCAGACCTGGCGGGAGCTGCAGGCTGCTCCGCGGGAGGAGGTGAGCATGCGCGGCCACGCCCCGAGCCACGCCCCCAGGCCCCCGCCCACAACATCTTGAGCCAATCAGATCATAGGCCTTCCAGACCCTCGGGGCGGCGTGGATTGTACCGCTGGGTCCTTAACTGTGGACCGTTCCATTCCAAAGTGTGGGGAGAAAAGACAAATGGAGGGGGCATGGATGTGGAGCCGGGGCTCTGACGATGGGCCCCTCTCCTTCATTCAGCAGGAGAAACTTGGGGACATCTGCTTCTCCCTCCGCTATGTCCCTACGGCCGGGAAGCTCACCGTCATCGTCCTGGAGGCTAAAAACCTGAAGAAGATGGACGTAGGAGGACTGTCAGGTGTGTGGGAAGCAAGGGAGTGTGGTGTGTGGAGATGGCGTGGGGTGGGTTCTCGTTCTGGCAGTTTCTGAGCCCCGAGAGTTTCTTCGGGGACAGGGAGGCCCAGGCTGCCGTGGAAGGCATGGATTTTGGGATAGAGCTACGGAGACCCGAAGGGTGTAGGCGGTGTTTCTATGTTGGCCCAAGAACTCAGCAGTGGAGAGCTATAAGACTCCTCCTTCCTCTCCCCAGATCCATACGTCAAGGTCCACCTGCTGCAGGGCGGCAAAAAGGTGCGGAAGAAGAAAACCACCATCAAGAAGAACACTCTGAACCCCTATTACAACGAAGCTTTCAGCTTCGAGGTGCCCTGTGACCAAGTCCAGGTGAGCTCAAACTTGCCGTTCTCCAAAAGCCCAGACCCTTAGTAATCGCCATTGCTAGGCCGAGGGAGACTTTTTAGCATCTCCCTAGAAACCAGGTGAGGGGCTCTGAAGTTATGCCCTCCGTCTGTTTCCTCCTATGAGGACCACGAAGCCTCCTCTACTCCGGAAGAGACTCCTTAAAATTGGATGTGGGCATCCTATCTGCTCTAAGCAGGACCGGTATGCCCCACCCACTAAGCGGGACCAGGATGCCCCACCCCTAAGCAGGACCAGATGCCCCACCCTAAGCAGGATCACGATACCCTGCCCCACCAAGCGGGACCAGTATGCCCTGCCCCCAAATGGGACCACAACGCCCCACTCCTAAGCAGGACCAGGTGCCCCACCCCAAGCCGGACCAGGATGCTCCGCCCCTAAGCAGGACCAGATGCCCCACCCCAAGCAGGACCAGATACCCCATACCAAGCAAGACCAGGATGCCCCGCCCTAAGCAGGACCAGGATGCCCCGCCCCCAAGCGGGACCAGGATGCCCCGCCCCCCACGCGGCACCAGGATGCCCCGCCCCCCACGTGGCACCAGGATGCCCCGCCCTCCTCAGGAATATGGGTCTAAGAAAAAGAGACCTCCCCTTACCTCTTTAGGGATGGCGCCTACCCTAGCTCGGCCCTTGTTAAAAGTTCTGCAGCTTTGCGGCTCTTAGGAGGCTGCTCCCCCAAGAGGCGCCGAACACGCGCTCTGCAACCGAATCCTGAGGGTTTATCTCCTTAGAAACCTGGCTGCTCAGGAAGAAGGGCGCCAGAGCCGCCTCCTCACCGCAGGCTCCGTCCCTCCCGTCCCCCTTCCCCGTCCCGAGCTCCGGGGCCCCGAGCCCCCGGGTGGCAGCGAGAGGTACCCTCAGCTGTGAAGGTGGACACTGCCCCTTCCGGGCCTCCTCCCCTCACCCTCCTCTCTCCTCCTCCTCCCGCGCCCACCCCAGAAGGTGCAGGTGGAGCTGACCGTGCTGGACTACGACAAGCTGGGCAAGAACGAGGCCATCGGGAGGGTGGCCGTGGGGGCGGCCGCCGGCGGAGCTGGCCTGCGCCACTGGGCGGACATGCTGGCCAACCCGCGGCGGCCCATTGCCCAGTGGCACTCGCTGCGGCCGCCGGACCGAGTGAGGCTGCTGCCTGCGCCCTGACTCCCACCCGAAGCCGCTGGCCAAGCCTGGACTCTAGCCCCTGACCCCAGACTCCCGAGACCGGCCAAAGCCAAGCCAGCCCTACCCGTAAGCTTCCTCTGCCCATTCCGCTCCCCCCACCTTCCACCCCAACCATCTGAACCATTCCTGGCTTCTCACCCCCAACGGTGCCAATCACCACCACGGTCCAGCACACTCCCCCGACCCCCGCGGACACACCCAGACGCCCCAGGGACCCCTGGGAAGGGAAGACAGACTGGCTTCTCCTGCCCCCGGGTCCTGCTCCCTGCTTTGACAATCAGCCATCCTCGTCTGCTCTCCTCTCTCTTCCAACACAGCCCGTCCCTGCACTGCTCCTGGGGCCAAATAAATGTTCAGCAACTCCGGTGGCCTGGGCCCATACTCCTTGATGGGGGTGGGCACGGGCTGGGGCCCAAGAGGAAACTTCTTTCCCGGAATGGGTGCACGCAGGGCAACGTGCACTTCGTCTTGAAGGCCGCTGAGAGAGACTGGCCCGGCCCCATGGACTCCCTCACACTCTCACCCGTTCATTCCTCACTCACCACTCTGAGCCTGGGTTTCCTCCTCTGGAGAATGTTGGGATAATAATAACTCCTGCCACACGTTAGCTGTGAGGAGTCCGCGAGAATTCCCTTGCTTGTCCATGAATTTATCCCCTCGCTTGCTCACCCATGACTCACATCGATTTTCAGACCCATTTCTGCATCCCTCCCTCCCTCTCTTTTTTTCTTCCTTCCATTCCATATTCCTTGAGGTCTTCTGTTGAGTGCTGGGGCCGCAGAATAGATGCAAACACAGACCTGACCCCCCAAGCGACTTAATGTCATCAAAACAAAGGAGAGGCACAGAGCCAGGGAATAAAATCTCCAGAGCCTGTGAGAGAGGATGGAGTTAAGCAAGGAAAGCCAATGATTTCAACTTCACCTCTTTCTTTTTTCTTTTCTCTTCTTTTTTCCTTTCTCTCTCTTTCTTTCTTTCTTTCTTTCTTTCTTTCTTTCTTTCTTTCTTTCTTTCTTTCTTTCTTTCTTTCTTTCCTTCCCTCCCTCCCTCCCTCCCTCCTTTCCTTCCTTCCTTCCTTCCTTCCTTCCTTCCTTCCTTCCTTCCTTCCTTCCCTCCTTCCTTTTTCCTTTCCTTTTTTTTTTGAGACAGGGTCTCACTTTTTCACCCAGGCTGGAGTGCAGTGGCATGATCTGAGCTCACTGCAAGCTCCGCTTCCCCGGTTCACGCCATTCTCCTGCCTCAGCCTCTGGAGTAGCTGGGACTACAGGTTCCTGCCACCACACCCGGGTAATTGTTTTGTATTTTTAGTAGAGACGAGGTTTCACCGTGTTAGCCAGGATAGTCTCGATCTCCTGACCTCGTGATATGCCCACCTTACCTCCCAATGTGCTGGGATTACAGGCATGAGCCACCACGCCCAGCCCTTCTTTTTCTTTGCTTTCCTTTTCTTTTTTTTTAGACAGAGTTTCACTCTAGTTGCCCAGACTGGAGTGCAGTGGCACAATCTCGGCTCACTGCAACCCCCGCCTCCCGGGTTCAAGCGATTCTCCTGCCTTAGCCTCTTCTTTCTTCTTTTTTTTGACAGGGTTTCACTCTGTCCCCAGGTTGGAGTGCAGTGGTGCAATCATAGCTCACTGCAGCCTCAACCTCCTGGGCTCAAGGGATCCTCCTGCCTCAGACTCCTGAGTAGATAGGACCACAGGTACATGCAACCATGCCTGGGTTTTTTTTTTTTTTTTAGAGAGATGGAGTCTTGCTATGTTGCCCAGGCTGGTTTCAAACTCCTGCAATCCTCCTGTCTGAGTAACTGGGACTGTAGGCATGAGCCGCCACACCAACCTCATTGTTCTTTCAATGAATGCTGCCTCCTACTCTGTTTCAGGCAAAGATGATAGTTCCATTGGCTTCTACCTTATCTCATCCCATACAGAATTTTGGGTGGTGAACAAAGACCTATAAGATTTGGCCAGAGAACTCTCTGAGCAGCAGATTCAGTGGAGAATGAGGCAAAAATTACCCCCACGTACGGAAAAAGGAGGCAGCAAACAAACTTGCTCCTAAGCTTCCTGGTAGCCAATGGGGAAAGTGAAAATAGAACAGCTACACAGATTATAATATCCATGAGATTTTAAATTTTTCTCCAAAGGAATTCAGTAACTTTTCATGTGTGTGAGTATGTGTGTGTATTGGTGTAGAGCATGTCTTTATGAAGACAGCTCTTTATGTTACTACTATTACTGCCAATAATAATCCTCACAGCAAACTCATGAAATAAACATGATCAACCGGGCTCAGTGGCTCAAGCCTGTAATCCCAGCACTTTGGGAGGCCGAGATGGGTGGATCATGAGGTCAGGAGATCGAGACCATCCTGGCTAACATGGTGAAACCCCGTCTCTACTAAAAAATACAAAAAACTAGCCAGGCGAGGTGGTGGGTGCCTGTAGTCCCAGCTACTCGGGAGGCTGAGGCAGGAGAACGGCGTAAACCCGGGAGGCGGCGCTTGCAGTGAGCAGAGATCCAGCCACTGCACTCCAGCCTGGGTGACAGAGCGAGACTCCATCTCAAAAAAAAAAAAAGAAATAAACATGATAATTATTCCCAGTTGACAAATGAGCCCAAACTATGCTTTAGAGAATTTGGGGCTGGACGTGGTGGCTCATGCCTGTAAAAGTGAGGCTGAGGTGGGCGGATCACCTAAGGTCAGGAATTCAAGACCAGCCTGGCCAACATGCTGAAACCCTGTCTCTACTAAAAATACAAAAATTAGTTGGGTGTGGTGGCTGGCACCTGTAATCCCAGCTGCTAGGGAGGCTGAGGCAGGAGACTCGCTGGAACCCAGGAGGCGGAGGTTGCAGTGAGTCGAGATCGTGCCATTGCACTCCAGCCTGGACAACAAGAGCAAAACTCCGTCGAGAGTGTGTGTGTGTGTGTGTGAGAGAGAGACAGAGAGAGAGAGAGAGAGTGAATTCCTGTGAAATGCTCAGAATCACACAGCCAGAAAGCCTGTCTCTAAATCCTGGGATTGATTTAGGTGATGACAATGGGGTCCTTGGTTCTCCATCTCAACAAGAAAGCAGAGCGGTAGAAGAATAAAACCATTACAAATGGCAGTCCACACTGGGACCAAAATGTAAAAGGGCTGAGATAATTTAGGGAGGGTGAACAGGGGCAGCCTTCCTGAGGAGGTGCCGTCTGGGCCATGACTTGAATGACAAGAAGGAATGAAGCTTGCAAAGGTTAGGGAGAAAAACGGTGGAATATTATTTGGTCATAAAAACAGAAGGAAGCATTGATTCATGTACTTCAGCATAGATGAGTCCTGAAACTATTATGCCAAGTGAAGGAAGTGGACACAGAAGGCCGCATAGTGCAAGATTCCTTCCAAAAGAAACCTCCTGAACTGACAAATTCATAGAGGCAGAAAGATTCGTGGTTGTCAGGGACTGAGGAGAAAGAAATGGGGAGATAAGTGGGGTTTGGGTTTTCTTTTGGAGTGAAGAGAAAGTTCTGGAACTAGACAGTGGTGATGGTTGCACAGCATTGTGAGTGTACTAAATGTCATTCCCAATTAATAGTGTGTGCGCTTTACACCAATTTAAAAAGAAAACAAGGCCAAGCACGATGGCTCATGCCTTAATCCCAGTACTTTGGGAGGCCAAGGCAGGAGGATTGCTTGAGCCCAGGAGTTCCAGACCAGCCTGGGCAACATAGTGAGACCCTGTCTCTACAAAAGAAAAAAAAAATAGCTGGACATGGTGATGCGTATCTGTAGACTCCGCTACCTGGGAGGCTGAGGCGGGAGGATTGCTTGAGCCTGAGATTTAGAGGCTGATGTGAGTTGTGATTATGCCACTGCATTCCAGCCTGTGCCACAGAAGGAGAGCTTGTCCAAAAAAAAAAAAAGAAAGAAAGAAAGAAAAGAAAAGAAAAAGAAAAAGAAAACAGGCTAGTCATGGTGACTCATGCCTGTAATCCCAGCACTTTGGGAGGCAGGAGGATCGCTTGGGGCCCAGGGTTTGAGACCAGCCTGGATAATCAAGTGAGACCTCATCTCTATTTTAAAAATTTGTAAAGTTAGCTAGGTATGGGGGAATGTGCCTGTAGTTCTAGCTACTAGGGATGCAGAGGTGGGAGGATCGCTTGAGCCCAGGAGTTTCAGGCTGAAGTACTCCAGCCTGGGCAACAGAGCAAGTCCCTGTCTTAAATAAATAAATAAAGCCGGGCGCGGTGGCTCACGCCTGTAATCCCAGCCCTTTCGGAGACCAAGGCAGGCAGATCACCTGAGGTCAGGAGTTTGAGACCAGCCTGACCAACACGGAGAAACCCCATCTCTACTGAAAATACAAAATTAGCTGGGTGTGGTGGCGCATGCCTGTAGTCCCAGCTACTCAGGAGACTGAGGTGGGAGAATCGCTTGAACCGGGGAGGTGGAGGTTGCAGTGAACCGAGATCGCGACATTGCACTCCAGCCTGAGCAACAAGAGTGAAACTCCGTCTCAAATAAATAAATAAATAACAGCCTGGGCAACTAGTGAGACCCTTTCACTACATACACACATACGCGCACACACACGCACACACATACACACACACATACACATACACACATACACACACACACACATACACATATACATACATACACATACATATACATACACACATACACACAGAGATACACACACATACATATACATACACACATGCACACACACATACACATACACACGCATACATACACATACACGCATGCATACACACATACACACATACACACATACACACACACATACATACATACATATCTGGGCATGGCGGCACTTGCCTGTGGTCCCAGCTACTAAAGATGAGGGGGAAGAGAATTCAAGGCAAAAGAACCCCAAGTTGCAAAGGCTCTGGGGTTCAAACGGCGTGGTGTGTTCTCCAAGGAGCCAAGAGGCTGCTGTGGCTTCAGGGGTGCATAGGGAATAGGGAGCCAAGCTAAGGAGCTGGGAATGTGTCCAGGTGTGGCGGGAAACATTTGGAGGATTTGAAGAGGTGGGAGACATTATTTTATTTATGTTAAAGATCACTCTGGGACAGGTGCAGTGGCTCACACCTGTAATTCAAACACTTTGGGAGGCAGAGGTTGCAGTGAGCCAAGATCATGCCACTGCACTCCAGCCTGGGCGACAGAGCAAGACTCCGTCTCAAAAAAAAAAAAAAAAAATTCGCCGGGCTCAGTGGCTCACACCTGTAATTCCAATACTTTGAGAGGCCAAGGCGGGCAGATCACCTGAGGTCGTGAGTTGGAGACCAGCCTGACCAACACGGAGAAACCCTGTCTCTACTAAAAACACAGAATTAGCTGGGCGTCGTGGCGCATGACTGTAATCCCAGTTACTCGGGAGGCTGAGGCAGAAGAATGACTTGAACCCGGGAGGCGGAGGTTGCGGTGAGCCAAGATCATGCCATTGCACTCCAGCCTGGGCAACAAGAGTGAAACTCCATCTCAAAAAAAAAACAAAAAAAACCCCAAACAAACAAAAAAAATACACACACACACACATACACACAATAAAATAAAAATAAAAATAAAAATAAATGAAAGTACAAAAATTAGCGGGCGTGGTGGCACACGCCTGTAGTCCCAGCTACTTGGGAGGCTGAGGTAGGAGAATCACTTGAACCTGGGAGGCGGAGGTTGCAGTGAGCCGAGATCGCGCCACTGCACTCCAGTCTGGGCGTGGCAGTCTGGGCGTGGCAGCAAGACTCCGTCTCAAAAAATCACTCTGGCTCGTTTGCTGAGAATATGTTGGGGGAGTGGGAGAAATAGGGAGGAAAGGCATTAATTCTCCAGAGAGAAAGCCAGGATCTGGGGCTCTTGCAGGCTTAGAGCTGGCCTGGGAGAGGCTGGTTAGCCAGGCTGATTCTGCAGGAACTGCTGAGGTCTCAGCCTTCATTTCCCCAGTGGGTATTGTCTTCCCAGTGCCCAGATCTGCCCTCAGGAGGCAGATCCGCTGCCCCTCTGCCAGCTGCACGCTACATTCCCATCTCACAGAGCAGGAGACTGAGGCTCAGAAAGGGTGACTGGTCTAAGCTCACGTGTCTGGGCAAGGAAAGGAGGCAGAGAGCCAAATTTCCCCGGGCGCTGAGCCCAGTGCGGAGTGCTGGGGTGATCTAGAGATGTGCCTCATTCAGACTCTGCTTTTTTTTTTTTTTTTTGACAGTGTTGCTCTGTCTCCCAGGCTGGAGTCTAGAGGCGCAGCTCACTGCAACCTCCGCCTCCCGGATTAAACAGACTCTCCTGCCTCAGCCTCCAGAGTAGCTGGGATTACAGGTGCGTGCCACCACGCCCGGTTGATTTTTGTATTTTTTAAGGTAGAGGAGTTGTTTCACCATGTTGGCCAGGCTGGTCTCCAACTCCTGACCTCAAGTGACCTGCCCACCTCGACCTCCCAAAGTGTTGGGATTACAAGTGTGAGCCACAGCGCCCTGCCAACTTACCCTTATTTTAACGAAGTGCATTTAACTGTACGATTACAGAATTTACCTGTAGTTTTTTTTATTCATGTCAGAAGGGTAATGTGCCGATGTCGTAACAAGGTTTGAGGGAGGCACATCTCACACATGCGCGTGAACACCCAATCATCCCGCTTAGAAACTACAAAAGGATAGAGCTGTAAGTTTAAATTATTGAATATTTAATGACCTGCACATCAGTGCCCCACCTGTGGGCAGCTCTGTGTGGTAGAGCCCACGTTGTGCTGGGGCGAGGAGCGGGCTCAGAAGCCTGCCGTCTAAAATCTAGACGCTTCACTTTATTTGGGTCGCTCAAAATTCAGTTACGTAGGAGCAAAGGCAGAAGATGGAAAAAAGAAAAAAAAAGAAAAGGAAATAAGATTATGCTCCGTTCACTCTCAATTTTACTCAGCCCAGGCCTCCCCCATTCCAGAAATTTGGACCGACCCTGACTCCGCCCCAACCTGGTTCAGCCCCGCCCCTTCCCCGTCAGTGCCGTCGTCATGACAACCGCGTCTACACGTCCTCTTCTCCTAGGGGTGGGGGAAACCTGGCCCTCAGGGCCCCCATTGGCCAAAAGTTTGTAGAGGACGGGCCTCGCTCACTTTCATTGGTCAGTTGATCGCTGTGGTCCCATCCCCCATGCTCCCATTGGTTGATTGATCGAAAAGGGCGGGGACTCTGGGCAGCAGTTGCGGAGTGCCACGGGTCCACAGTGCTGCACTGAGCAGAGAGGAAGGGGCGTCCCGGAGTATTTGGAGGATAAAGGTGTGGGCAGGGTATCATGTGGAGGCAAAGGGGCGAGAAGTGCGGGGCGGTGAGAGGGGAGCGGGGCGGGCAATATGTGGGATTCTCAGAATGTCTTTTCCGCAGGGTGATGACCACACCTGCCGGCTCCGGCAAGGGCTTCGGCTCCGTGTCCTGGTGGGGCCTGTCCCCGGCGCTGGACCTGCAGGCTGAAAGTGAGTCCCAGCACGCAAGGTCTGATACACCGTCTGCCTTCCCAGCCTGAGCAGACGGCCTTTTAGAGCTGGTAGTCCCAGCGTCGGTGGCAGGGGGCGCGCTAACGTTCTCCAAGGATCCAACGGCGGAGGGCGCGCTCCCAGGGGCAGCCCCGAGGTCCTGTCTGCAGACTATGAATCCCAGAATACTCGAAGGAAACACCTCCCCTTAGAGCCTAGGCCACAGGCGCGACGCCTACTGGGATTTGTAGTCCATTGTTGTAGGGGATGCTACGGTGGACGGTCCGCCAACCACCATGGTGCCCCAGCCGGCTTTCATCTTGCCAGGTCCTCCTGTGGACCCAGATTTCCAGGCCGATACGGTGCACAGCACCCCCGAGCTAGACGTGCTGCTTCTGGGCTCTGTGGATGGACGGCACCTGCTGCGGACGCTGTCCCGAGCGAAGCTCTGGCCTCGCAGGAGGTTCAACGTGAGCTGGGGTGAAGATGAGAGCCCAGATTCCCGAGTCCTTGAGGGAGGAAGGGATTGGAATTCTAAAACCTCAGGTCCAGGAATGAAGGGGCTGGAGACTCCTAGATCTGAGGGAGGTGGAAGTTGGGAGCGAACTCATGCGTCTTGGGGAAGGAAGGGGCTGGGGTTTGGAACTATTGGGTTCTGTAGTGGGGAAGAGCTCAAAGATCAGGTCTTCTGAGGAATGGAAGGAAAGAGGGCTCTGGGGACCCAGACTCCTGTGTTTGAAGGAAGAGGCTGGTGTACAGAACTCCTGCGTGTGTGGAAGGAGAGAGCTGAGGGCCTGCTCTCCTGGGTCCCCTAGGGCCCGGGCAAACAGGTCTCAGAATTATTCTGCCTTGTCCATCCTTCTAGTTCTTTGTGCTGGAGAATAATCTGGAAGCTGTGGCGCGACACATGTTGATCTTCAGCTTAGCCCTGGAGGATCTGGAGAAGATGGGCCTGCAAGGTCTGTTGCTAGGACCCAGGCATTCTGACTGCTGGCCTCCTCCCCCTCCCTAGAGGGATTCTGGCATTTCAACGGTACAATTAACAAGTTTGGTTATTTTCCCGGGAGGCAGAGGTTGCACTGAGCCGAGATCGCGCCATTGCACTCCAGCCTGGGCAACGGTCGCAAAACTCCATCTAGAAAACAAAAATGTTTGGTATTTTCCAGTGTGGTACCTCTGATGGGGAAAAAAAAAAAAATCATATACATTTATTGATGATGGTCCCCTCTGATGTAATTTGCCATCTTAGAGCCTCAGCTTCTCCTACCTGTAAAATGGGGCTAAATATAATACATCTTAGAGCCACTTAGAAAATTCCAGGAGAGGCTGGGTGCAGTGGTTCACACCTGTAATCCCAGCACTTTGGGAGGCCGAGGCAGGCGGATCACGAGGTCAGGAGATCGAGACCATCCTGCTCAACATGGTAAAACCCCATCTCTACTAAAAATACAAAAATTAGCCGGGCGTGGTGGCGGGTGCCTGTAGTCCCAGTTACTTGGGAGGCTGAGGCAGGAGAATCACTTGAACCTGTGAGGCGGAGGTTGCAGTGAGCCAAGATCATGCCATTGCACTCCAGCCTGGGTGACAAGAGCAAAACCTCCATCTAAAACAGAAAAAGAAAACAGGTTTGTTTGTTTGTTTTTTGAGGCAGAGTCTTGCCCCGTTGCCCAGGTTGGAGTGCAATGGCACAGTCTTGGCTCCCCATAACCTCTGCCTCCTGGATTCAAGCAATTCTCCTGCCTCAGTCTCCCAAGTAGCTGGGATTACAGGCATGCACCACCATGCCCGGCTAATTTTTTGTACTTTTAGTAGAGCCGGGGGTTTCACCATGTTGGCCAGGATGGTCTCAAGCTCCTGACCTCAGGTGATCTGCCCACCTTGGCCTGCCAAAGTGCTGGGTTTACACGCTGAGCCATCTCACTTGGCCCCAAGAAAAAAGGTTTAATTGACTCACAGTTCCACAGGCTGTACAGGGAGCATGCATGGCTGTGAAGGCCTCAGGAAACTTACAATCACAACAGAAGGTGAAGGGGATGCAGGCACCTGTTCCATGGCAGGAGAAAGAGCAAGAGAGGCAGCAGGGAAGAGCCGCACACTTTCAAACAACCAGATTTTGTCGGAACTCACTATCACGAGAACAGTAAGGGAGAAATCTGCCCCCAGGACCCTATCACCTTGCATCAGGCCCCACCTCCAACATTTGGGGATTACAATTCAACATGAGATTTAGATGGGACACAGATCCAAACCATATCAGTCATTAATAACCCAGAGAATTCAGAGTGCAGATTGTTCAAAGTTCTTAAACAGCTAGAACTAAACTGATCTATTTTACTAAAAGGCACACAGTTCTCTTCTATTAAGTTCTTAAACAACTAACATGAAACTATTTCTTTTTTTTTTTTTTTTGAGATGGAGTCTCGCTCTGTTGCCCAGGCTGGAGTGCAGTGGCCGGATCTCAGCTCACTGCAAGCTCCGCCTCCCGGGTTTACGCCATTCTCCTGCCTCAGCCTCCCGAGTAGCTGGGACTACAGGCGCCCGCCACCTCGCCCGGCTAATTTTTTGTATTTTTAGTAGAGA